TAGTCCTAAATAACTTAGAGTCCAGAGTCTCTGATCAATACAACCAGAGGCTCTCATCCATAGGGGCTCTGGTCGTCCATAGGGACTCTGGTCGTCCATAAGGGCTCTGGTCATCCTTAGGGGCTCTGGTCATCCGTAGGGGCTCTGGTCATCCATAGGGGCTCTAGTCCTTCATAGGGGCTTTGGTCTTCTTCCAGACCTAGTCGTTTTAGCACAGCAGCATCTTCATATCTTCCATCCTTGACCCCGATTGCTTGATAAAACTTTTAGAATAATTAGGATCAATTTTGGTCCTAACAATCTCCCCCTAAAGTTTTATAAAGCAAGCATCCTCATGAAGCCTTTAGGCCTTCTCCCCTCTGTTTTCTTCAATAAAGCTTTAGTGTGCTTGGTATGGATGGAATCTTCAAGCTCCCCCTGAATGTAGCTCTCTAATCTTCATTTTCAACTCTTAGACCAAATCAGATTCAATGTGAATGCATCACCACTGATTGCACAGAATGCAGCTTTAATCAGCCTATAACCCAACACATACTTTAAGGCACAAAATAGCCACTTAACCCCAAAAATAGCAAATTCATCCAACTAAGGGATAGATAAATGTGTGAATTTCTTGACAAAACAGTGCAACCAGTCTTATGATAAAGAATCTTTCGTTTAACCGTAAGTTGAGTAGGAATTCAGCTTAGAGCTTGATCCAATTGGAGATAACTTGAATAACCAAAGCAAACACCATTAGAATTGAGAACTGGAGAGAATAATTAACATTAAGCTTTATGGCTTCAAGAAACAGCAGGTCAATTCAAAGAAAATTGACAATACTGCTGTTGATGCTTCTAAGGGCAAAACATGAAGGAATATCGCCATATTCATATAGGATTGGTGATTGCAGGTAAATAAATCTTTAAGCTCTTACAGATTCAGATTTACAAGGAGAGACAATGAACAAATACTCAAGATATGGGCGATAAGTATAGGTTTGACAAACAAAACGCCAATTGCCTTAGGCTGTGAGCACCATGAACTCCTGCTTAATGCCTACGCGTAGATATAGCAAAATCAAGATTCAAAAGTTCGACTGACTCCAAGAAACTTCATCAAATAAACCAAAAAAAATTATGATCATAATAGGTTCGTATTCATCCAAGAACAAATCTCTTAAAAGGAAGTTGATTAAAACATTTAATCATATGATGAATTGATGAATTTTGGGTCCAAATTGCAGTCGAACAGGAAGTAGTTCATGAAAGAGTATTGTTCAAGAAAATTGAATCTACTGTAGAAAGATCGAATCGATAGAAGTTAATCGATTTGGCTCTGATATCAATTGTTAAACCCAGATCCGACAGTAGAATAATTTAATAGGAACATAAAATGAGAGATTTGTAGAAGAAGATGAATAGAAATTGGTCGCCGCTTTCTTTATTGAATACAAACTCTCTCAAAAACCCTAATCGACTCTCATGTGATGTGTTTGAATCTATGTGTTACAAAGTGTTGATCATTCATCTTACTTCTATTCTATGCCTGTATCACTTCTTATATAGGCGATATTTACATGATAACTGAATCCTATAAATAAGGTAAYTAAATCCTATAAACAAGAAAATAATCATTATCGAATATAGGATCAACACCATTCTTCAAGATTCTGAAGATAGTCATCCAGATCATTGACCAACCAGAAGGGTTATGGAGATGCGCAGTTCATCGCACCTATGGATGTTCATCGCACCTCTGGTTGTCCATAGGAGCTCTGGTCCTAATGGACATAGAGTCCAGAGTCTCTGGTCAATACAACCAGAGGCTCTGCTCGTCCATAGGGGCTCTAGTCTTCTTCTAGACTTAGTCGTTTTAGCACAACAACATCTTCAGATCTTCCATCCCTAGCCCCGATTGCTTGATAAAACTTTTAGAATAATTAGGATCAATTTTTGTCTTAATATAAAAAGACAACTCTGAATTCCTCTTACTCAGAGTTAAGTCCAGATTTACTTCCCAGCCTAACAACAGAACTCTGAATTCTTGTGTTCCAAAGTTAATGTCCAGCGTTGCCTTCTACACCCGAGGAAAAATCTGAACTCATTTTCCTCATTTAAATGGGTGCCCAAGTTCAAAAGTTTCCTTCATGAAGGGGCTGCCATATTGATAAAATATCCTACAATTGCTCGACATGCGTCCAAATACAAGTTAATTGATAATACAAACAAGTTAAGTTTGTATTACAAAACCTTTGTTACCAATTTTCGGGACTTTAAGGGTTCCGTGTTTGGTTTTTCGTTTGTGAAGTTTGCAAATGTTATATCAAAAATCATTCTAGAACATACAACAACTGGTTAGTCAATTAAATCCTTCCAATTTTACTATATTTTTTTAAATATATTATATCATATGCTATCATTCAGGTCAAACTTAGTTATGTCAACTTTTTAATCATTATATAGATGTAACTGGTGAGGTCGTAGCTTGTGAGACAATGATCAGTCTTCTAAACAACAATGGAAAACCGAAGAGACGGATGCAAATTGAGATACAAGACTTGGAGTAAGTATTTTTATTTTAATTGACTAACATTAATCTTCACAAACTATGTAATTCCTTTGTTACAATTTATTTAGGGGGATTAAAATCCAAGTTACTTTGTGGGATACGTTCGCTCAGGAATTCAGTGATTATGTTTCTAATCACAAGGACAATGGGGTTGTTATTGTTGTAATTCAATTTGCAATGGTGAATATTTACCGAGGTTTGTGTCACTCATAATATATATATATATTTCTTTTAACCAATGTTGTATTAACTTCAATTATTTGTTTTGTTTTAGAAAAACCATTTTTTTCTAATTCATTTAATGGTACGAGGTTGTTCATCAATTATGAAATTGATGAAATCAGAGATTTTAAGAATAGGTCGGCAAATATTATTTTCTTTATTTCTCTTATATATTCGATATTTTTTTAATATACATTGTTGTTTACTTATATTCCTGATTCAATAGTTTGATTTGGGAGGGTGGCGAATCTAAATTCGTCACAACAGCTTTCAATGCTCTCTAGATTGTCTTATTCATATCATGAAGATTTTCTAGATAAAACCAGTAAAGCAAATATTGTTGAAATTAGTGAAACTGTTGAGGTACTTATTTCTTAATATGGTTTCTATTCATTCAGTAATTGCATTTTATCATGATATATCCTACTTTATACAGACGAAATTACTAATTATATTAGGAACAATTAAAGCGTTTAGAAAAGACATTCCTTGGTTTTACATGGGTTGCAAAAGGTGTAACAAAAAGGTCCGACCCACGTACACTATAACAGACAAAGATGATAGATCAGGTATGGTTGAAGAAAAGGAAAATTTTGAATGTACTTCTGATAGATGTAGAGGGCAAAAGACTGATGTTCTGTCAAAGTAAGTTAGAACTACTTAACACTACTTTTCGTTATCTTTTATATTCTTATATTAATGTTGACATAATAATGATATAGATTCATAATTCCTTTGAGAGTTAAAGATGATACTGGAATTGTATCATTGACATTGTTTGATCGAGAAGCTAACAAGGTTTTGAATCAATCTGCAACAAAATTATATGAAAAAATTAAAGAGGTATGATTAGAAGTCTTATCTTTTTTTGTAATTTTTTTATTTGCTTTCAAATGTTTGTTAATGTAAAAGGTGTTTGATTTTTTTCAGCATGGTGATTTGGATGTTTTGCTTGATCGAAAATTTGCAATAAAGATCGAAGTAAATGATTACAACATAAAAAACAGTTGTTTTGTTTATGGTATTTCAAAGCTAACCGATGATGATAACATTTGGAGATGAGATTTACTGCTCAACAGGTAATAATTATCATTGCCATAAAGTATCATCCAATTTAGTCTCAAATCTTTCTGAGTGTAACATTATTTTATGATTTATTATGCAGCCTGCTGAATTTGAATTTGTAAATGTTCATTCAACAGATTTCAGTTCTCAAGAGAAGTTAAAGGTATTATAAATGCTACCTTCAACGTAGTTTGTAAATATAAATGAAAGCAAGTACTTCTTAAAATGACATATCTGACTATTATCTTATTTGAAGGATGTTGTGTCATGTACTGGTGAGAATGCAACACTCTCCGATGTGGATAAGAGCACAACAAATAGTCTGGAATCACAAGGGAAGTTGTATGAGAAAAGGCTTGGTAAAAGTATTGATAGTAAACGTGATTTTGAAGGTACTTATGATGCCGATCATGAAGGGAAACGATCGGCAACCAAAACTCTAAAAATTCCAAAACTTGAAAAGTGATATTCTTGGGTATGTCTTTTGTGGTTGGATTTTGTTTTCAACACAAATTTCTGAATTGGTACTTTCATTTTGTTATACGCTTTGTTTGTTATTTCATTTGGATTTATGAGTACATAATTGTGTTCGTTTTGCCAATCACAAATGTTAATGAGAAACCTTCTTTTGAGAAATATGCAATGGCAAGGGGGTACTTTGAATCCTTCTAGGTCTTGATTAATTTGTGAGAGTTATTTCCCAGAGTTAGAATATAACTCTGAAATGTTTCCCTCCAGACTTATACGATAACTCTGCTATGTTGTTTTCCATAGTTATAATGTGCATTAAATTTCCATTCTTATAAGACAACTCCAAAGTAGAACTAAACAAACTTAACATGTGAAGTTAAATTCCTACAGTATAAGTCTGAAGAGTCTTTTTTAAGAGTTCACTCAACCCAACTCTGAAGTCTTATTTTCCAGACGGAGTACTATGTGAACTACCATACATAGCTTATGCATATTCCATGCGGTCCTTCTGCTTTGCCTATGCAAATGTCTGAATTGTAATTTGTTATGCCTCAAATGTTTTCTGAAACTCATTTTACATACTTAGTACAAAACTCTGGCTAATCAACCTTTGATGTATTGTTACTCATTTCTCAGACTTAGCAGACTGATGAACTATTTCTTTCCAGAATTAAACTTTGAAAAAAACATCTAACCGTAGAAAGCAACTCCTAAGTACTGCCCGCCAGATTCATTCTTAGAGTGTTTCAAGAAATATAACATTTATTTCCATTGTTTATGCTGAAGTTATGTCTTACCTATACAAAGCTCTAAAATGTGTACAAAGTTATTTCAAGATTTATGAAATAACTCTGGACTATCATCTCTCATATTGAACTTATTTCCCAGAGTTATTTAATTGAATTATAAGTCTGATTAACGGTCGCCTGTTTAATATGATAATAATAAATATACAAATTTCAAGTATGCAGTATGGTTCTCCAAACATATTTGAGGTCAAAATTTATTTTATTCAAACTTACAAATCTGAATGCCATAGACTTATCCAACACCTCCTGCATTCCAATTTGCAGAGTTTTAATGTGTAGTTACTTTCTAGACTTAGGATAAAAATCCTCATACTTTTTCTCCAAACTTACAACACTGCTACAGTATTGGTTTTCAGAGTTTGTTATACAACTGTAGTTTCTTACGCTTCAAATGTTTTCTCAAACTCATTTCACATTCTTAATACGAAACTCGAAATAATTAACCTTTGATATGCTGTTTCTCATGTATCAGACTCAGCAGATTGCTGAGATGTTTCTTTCCAATGTTAAACTTTGAAAAGAACTTTTAACCGTACAAAGCAACTCTTAAGTACTTGCTACCATATTCATTGTTAGAGTTGTTTTAAGATATCTAACATTTATTCGCATAGTTCATGCATAATTTATGTCTTGCCTATACACAACTCTGAAATCTGTAGAGAATAGCAAAAGAGTTATTTCAAGATTTATGAAATAACTCTGAACTACCAAACAAGAGAGAGAAAAAGAAAGAAAACCAGAGGAGGCAAGGAAAAAGAAAGCTGAGAGGGAGAAGAAGAAAAAGAAGGCGGCAGAGCGAGTAGAGCAAGGCAGACAGCAAGGAAATCTACCAGTTCCTCTACAACCTAAGAGAAGAGACACCAGTCCAGAAGATCAGTCTCCATCCTATGGTTCAAGAGCACATCAGGCAGAGATTCCTCGATCGCTACACTCAACCAATCACTGCAGTCCACTTTACTGATGGGATAAAGCAAGTCCTTGACATAAAGAGGCGCACTTTCGCGCATAATCAAATTGTGTTCTACGAGCACACAGTGGAGAGGTCTCGTGGACGGATCTGTAGGTTTACAGATTGTAACCTCATTAATCTGAATCCGTGGGATCTTCTACATTTGTTCTACTTAACAGATCACAAGAAGGACAAGGGAGTAAAATACGATGTTTCCAACTTTGTTGTTCGCCAAACAATGACAGATCTGCTCGACTTCAGAAGCAAGTTCGAATTCCAACTATCTCCGGATCTAGGAGTGGATCAACTGATTGTCACTGCTTCAAATGAAGAATTGCAGGACATCAACAACATCCCCTCTTGGACGGTTTTGGTGGAACCAGAAGTGGGAGTGGTGTTTTGAAATAAGCATAAACAGAAGATCTTCTTTCGAGACAACCAAAATTACAAGTACTCCAACTCTACTATGTGCTATATAAGAGACAATCTGGTCAGGAGTAGAGACAACTCCCCTGGAGCAAAAAAGTGAGCCAAAATTATCCTGAGGTCAATTCAAAATATGCTTGAGTTTTGTGAACTTCTTAGGAAGTTCATTGGACTTCAAAATGTTTAGACCTCTTATCTTTTGTAAGTACTCCTTTATTTTTGATTCAATATAATTTCAATTTCAATCATATTGTACTTCATTTGATAGTTAATGTAAACCAGAGGTTCCTTTTAACCTATGTCTTCGATTAGACTTCTGTTTTGTAAATCAAGTAAGTGTCTTTCTTATTTACACTTAGGGGGAGATTGTTAGACCCCAACTTGTGAAAGTGTAAGTAAGAAGTGTCTTGCTCTATTCAATAGGACTTAGTCTATAGAAGCTGTCTGGCTAAGAGCTCTCATGTAGAAGATCAAGGACCAGAGCTCTTACTGAGAGTGAAGGTTCCTTTCATACAGAGCCTGTGCTCTATCACCGTGAAGGCTCAAGTCTTGTACGCCAAAAAGCATAAGCGCTTGACTTAAAGCAACAACTCCAAGACCAAAGCCTCTGCATAGTACATGCAGAGCTTCTGTATACTCATGCAGAGCCTCTAGTTACCCTCTTCATGGAAAGCGCGCATTAGCCCAGACATTCTCGTAAAGCGTCTAACAGATTTAAGGCGGCTTGACCAAGTCTGCTCCGCTATTCAAGGGAACTCAAAGATAAGGATGCAGACCAGTCAGCTCAGAGTTCCACGTCTTTTTTATAGCATAGTTTGTTAGACCTAGGCGTATATAAGGAGGCCTCTGCCTCAGGTTCAAAGTACCTAAAGGAGCAGACTCATACTATACGCATAATTCTTGTGAGATTACTTTTTTTTCTTAAATTGTTCATCTTTATCAATAAAAGCATTCGGTTATTCAAAGTATTATTTACTGTTTTATTTTCTTCTTTGAATATCTTGTTTAATCAATAGAAATACTTTGTTGTTCTTAATTCTTATTTTATACAAACAATATTTCTGCAAATTAAGAGTATCTGGGTTCTAACACTTCAAAAGGTATGCAACAAGTTGATCTAAAAAGCATATAGAAGACATACAAGATCTTTTGTTTTGGCTCTACTAATCTTGAACATCCTAAGATTAATAGTGAGGTTGCTAAACCAGAACCAGATGAAATCAAGAGTTCATCCACATAAAATTTTCTTAAAACTCTAGATCCAAAACTATTGGATGACTTCACAGAAACGGTGAGACATGTTTTCGAGCAAGATTTGCTTGAGGCCTTGAATTATCCTTCTAAAAGTCATAAAGATTCTTCTGGGAGTAATTCCTCGGATACTTTTGAAAGTTCTTCAACACAAAAGATGGATGAAGGTTCTAGCTCATGCATACGAGAATCTCCAGTTCTTAATGATACCTCTGTCTTTCGATATTCACACAAGGATTTTCTTGACTCCGACTCAGAGGTGGACTCGATTAAAGAGCAAGTTGAGACAGAGATTGTAGAAAAAGAACCAGAGGTTGCAAAACTTTCAAATGAGAAAAGGATTCTTCTAGGTTCTGGCCTTGTCAGCATGACAACAAGAGCTAAATTCTCTCCAAAGTTTGAATACAGGGCACAGAATACAAAGTATGTTTCCTCTGCATCGAAGGGCTCTAAATCTAATTCTAAGCCAATTAACTTCACTCCAAAACAGAAGGGAAATTCCACTGGTGACTCCATTTATAATTCCTCTGTTTCAAAGAGGCCTCTAAAGGCCAAAGGAGTAGGAAGGAATAAGAAGAAAATAGAGAACACTCATTCTAAGAAGTCAAAACAATCAGATCTAGATAGAAAGTTTGTTAGAACTACCAATGCTAGGAATGATTGTAATAAAATGTTCTTTGAATCAAATAAATTATTTTGTCATAAAAAATGTGTTTATACTTGTGAATGTTTCTCTCTACTGCAAAAGTTGAAGCATCATTTCTCTGATCCTAACTGTATTCTCTCTGGGTCATCAAGGATAAATTCCAAGAAGACCTAGAAGAGAAAGAAAGCTCCTAAAGCTAAGTCTGACAAACCAGATCTTAAGTCTGGTAACTCAGGTGTAGAGACAAAACACTCCCTCAAGCTAAAAAGCGATCTTTTACCCCTAATCATCGAGGACCCATTATGAAATGGGTACCTAAATCCCTATAATTTGTTTTGCAAAAGTCGCATGTGGATATTTGGTATCTCAACTCCGGATGCTCGAGAACATGGCTAGCAATAAAAGGCTACTCTCCTCATACAGAGAGAAAGTTGGAAGTAGTGTAACCTTTGGGGATAACATGCAAGGAGAGATAAAGGGATATGGAGATCTTCTGCAAGGTAAGGTTTTTGTCTCTAAGGTTGCTTATGTATCTGGGCTTAAACATAATCTTTTGAGCATAAGTCAACTATGTGATTCTAGCTACAATGTCAAGCTCCAAAAGGAAGCTTATTCCATTATGTCAGAATCAGGTCAGGAGTTGCTAAGAGCCAAACGCAAGGGAAATCTCTATCTTATGAACTTCTCACCAAGAGAAACTTCAGAGACTCTCTGTCTCGTATCTCGTAAGTGTGAAGAAGCATGGCTCTGGCATCACAAGTTGTCTTATTTAAATTTCCAAAATATAGAGAATCTTGTAAAAAATAATCTGGTTGACGGACTTCCTGCCATAAAGTTCAAAAAGGACCATATCTGCTTTGCGTGTGAAATGGGAAAGCTCAAAAGAGCATCCCACAAAACAAAGACAGATGTGT